GCATAGAGAGTTTGATTGAGTTCTTCAATTGGTCCATTGATACATTTAGAATAAAGATCATAACCAAGTATTCGATGAGCAATATTAAACATTTCTTTAACATTTGGATAATTAATAACTTGTTGTCTAAATAATTCTTTTCATTATTTTAATATAAACAATTAATAATTAAACTTACCCCATACCAATAAATTGTGTACCTTGACCAGGAAAAAGAATAATACTTGTTGTACTTGGATCAATGAATGGTCGTGATAATTTTTCTTCATTTTCAAATTCTTCTTGATTTAAATTATCTTCATCTACAAATGAACTAGATTCATCTTTAATCTGTTTTGATTCTTGTTCAAGTCGTTGTAATTCGAGACGAGCAAATTGTTCTTGTATAGACATTTGATTATTATTATTATTATTATTATCATCATTATCTATTGATATATTTTGATCCAAATTTGTAAATGATGATGTTGATATTGGTGGATGTTCAACAGAATGACGAATACCACGTGCTAAAAGATATGCTGATCGATGTAGAAATCGAATTTGTTGAGATAATAAACGATATCGAGAACAAAGTTCTAATGAATATCTAAATAATACCATTCTGGAAGAAAAAAAACAACTATTTTTTTTTTTTATTCATTGAACACATTTGTTACTATATTTTTGATTGCAATCTAAAGAACAATCATGAATCTCTTCTTTTGAATAATTACCAGACACCATATTAACTTTATTTTTATTAAAATACAAATTATACTGAACAAATACTGTATGAAAAAGAAAACATATATATGTACATTTGACAATATCGAACACAAAATAAAATTAAAGTTAAAGGTCTTCAATTTTAATATGAACAAATATTGTTCCATTAATATAATCACCATCTTTAGCTTTTAATTTAATATGTCTATAACCCAATTGAAGTCCTGTAAATGGTATACAAGCTCGTCCAAGAAATGTTGAAGAACCATATCGATCTTTATCACGTACTTGAAATAGAATAAGACATAATTCTGGACAAAAAATATCTATATTAATTTTATAATCCCATATTGGATTAAGACCATTATTACGAACTGATGGTGTATGATGTTCACTAGAATCATGTTGAATACCATAAGTTATAACTTCAACATAAGGATCAACAATATCTCTATCTTCAATACAATTTTTTTCTTTAGGTAAATGTTGTCCACTAATAATATGTATTTGTAAATGTTTGGCTTTTTTATAATATTTTTCTTTTGGATCAAATAATTCATTATCCGATAATAAAAATGATGGTTTAAGAAGATAACCACATCCACCATTATCACTAAAGAATGCATCTTGTAAACACATTGCTTTATCGTTTGCTTGATAATTAAGTGCAACCATTTGTACACCTAAATTAACAATAGAGAACATATCTATATATATATATATATAAAATAAATTTTTTTGTATACCATAAGACCAATAGTCAGTTGGATCTATATTACTTGAATCTTGTCGTTTTGCACCAGGATAAACACGTACGATATGTTGTTTTGTTAATCTAATTAGATCAAGATGTTCAGGTGAAACTTGATTAATTAAATCATCCATTTTTGATTCCTTGAATGATATTGAATGAAAACATTTTTCTATCATATAAAAAGAAAAATATTAATCCAAAAAAAAAAAAAATGAAAATATATTCAACATACGTGTACATAATGTATGAGTTATATTCATAAATGAAACAATTTGAGAATAGATAATTAAATTTGAAAATTCAGGATGATAATTCTAAAAATTAATTTGATAAATATTGATACAACAACAAAAAAAAAAGCAAAGAAAATACTTTTGGATTTGGTTCAGTTTCATCATTACTACGATCAGTTTTTGGATCAGCTGGGATTTTTCCTTTCGGATATCGACGACTCTATGATATATATATATATGTAAATATATGTAAACAATAATTAGAAAAAAAAAATGATTACCCTAATAATCACTTTATATTTAAGTTCTTCTGGTGATGGTAATGTTTCAAAATCATCAACTAATGGTTTAGATAAAAGATGATCTATAATAAAATATAAACAAACAAATAAAAAAAATACATATACGAATAGACACAAAAAAATTCAAATTTACCCTTAAAAGTATTTTTCAAAAGACGAGCCATAATACCTTGCTGTTCATATGAACAATGATTTTCAATATTAAAAAAAATTGGATATCTATCAATAATAATAATAATAAAAGAAAATTCTCGAAATAATCCTACGGTGAAATACTAAATGCTTCAGTTTTAATAGCAAGAATTATTTCTCGAAATGTAATTGGTTTAGTGAATGTATTACCATGGTAAACAATTGGTTCTCCATTCTCACCATCATAACAATCCACTATCATTCAAGAAAAAGTACTGAGAAATTTTTTTCAAAACAAATGCTTACTTTCAACAGCTCGACAACCAGTTCTTAATGCATGAATATAAGTTTCAGGTGTACAATCACCATAGACTTGATTATCACGAATATAACTATATCAATAAAAAAACAAAAAAGTATTAGTGTAATCTCTGTAGGATTAAAATGTAAAACACGATGTAGTTGCTCTTGCTAATCACAGAGAGATTATTTAATCGTCTTTATTTTGAAACACATTTCTTTACCAATCTTTTACTTAATTCGTTATAAATGCAATAAGGATGCAGTTTAGAGATGTGCATTGCCCGCGCCGCCAAAGAAAGGATATGGGACGATAAGAGCATTTTTCTTGCCAAAAAATGTTTGGAAAAAAACTACGTGGACTACAAAATAGGCATATTTTTTTACCATAGTTCGACATCAAAAATTTTTGCACCTGTACCCTCCTATGGCACACCTGAAAAAAAACTTTTTTTTCCTTTTAGCAAATACATGCCACAATATAGAGTCAATAGTGCTGATCACGAATATGAGTGTGGATTTTTGTTTGAAATCTTTTAATAAGCCAGAACGCGAAATTTTTTATGATTTCAGTCCTAGGCCAAAATTCAACGTTTTCGATGGTTTTGGGTTCGTTTTTTTCTTAATTTCGCGTTCTAAATCTTTGAAAACATATTTTAAATATGTAATCAACTATTCTTTATCTAATAGTGTAAACATTATAGAATCTAAAAGCACAAAACATTTTTTAAAGTTAGATTATGAGCTGAAATTCGCAGTAAAAGATATCGATGTCTCTTTCTGAAGCTATACCACTTCGTCAGAATACTGTGTCGCCCTATAAAAATGATACGGGTAAGTACAGTTTTTTTCGTTCTATCTAAATATATCTCTTAAAGAGAAAAAAACTTGTTGTTTTATGGGAAAATGGTCATTATGCATGGGAAAGTCATATTTTTTCGGCAATATTTTCATATTTCTCGCACGCTGCGAGTCAAAAGATGCATACAATCATCACAGTTAGTGTTCCATTAAATAGAGCATACTTTGTTACCTGTATCAAATGGTTCTAAAGCACTACAGACCGTATATAGATGGATGAGAAATAATAATAAATGTTTTTCCTATGACGGTTAATAATGGCGAAAAACAGGTCCGGCATTTAGACAATTTCTATCATCCAAGTTGTGTTTTTCAAAAAATAATCACATCATGAGAATAAGCGCATCATGGGCTACAACTCTAGCACTCTTAGTGACATTTTTTAGTTGTTAAGATTTTTCATACCTGTACCCCCCTCCCCCTCGAGTCCTCGGGAATCTGGAAAATTGTTTTGAATAATGATTAGTCAAACAGGTGCCATAAGCTGAAGTCTTTGACACTAATCGTGAAAAGCTCCTTATTTCTTGTAGAAACTACTTTAGAAAGCGAGGGACGACTTTGAAAGACTTTCATCTGTAAGGAAAAAATAGGCTATTCTTGTTTAACTTTTCAAGTCCATTCTACTCCAATAGAGTACTCTAAATCATGGAAAAAATACTTTGATATAGATAACAAAGTATGCTCTATCTAATGGAACACTAACTGTGATGATTGAATACATTTTTTGACTCACAGCATGCGAGAAATATGAAAATATTGCCGAAAAAATATGACTTCCCCGTACATAATGGACATTTTCCCATAAAACGACAAGTGTTTTACCTCTTCGAGAGATATATTTAGATAGAACGAAAAAAATTGTACTTACCTGTATCATTTTTATAGGGCGACACAGTATTCTGACGAAGTGATATGGCTTCAGAAAGAGACATCGATATCTTTTACTGCGAATTTCTGCTCATAAGCCGACTTTAAAAAATGTTTTGTGCTTTTAGATTCTATAATTTTTACACTATTAGATAAAGAATAGTTAATTACCTATTTGAAATATGTTTTCAAAGATTTAGAACGCGAAATTAAGAAAAAACAAACCCAAAACCATCGGAAACGTTGAATTTTGGCCTAGGACTGAAATCATAAAAATTTCGCGTTCTGACTTATTAAAAGATTTTAAACAAAAATCCACACTCATATTCGTGATCAGCACTATTGACTCTATATTGTGACATGTATTTGCTAAAAGAAAAAAAAGTTTTTTTTCAGGTATGCCGTAGGAGGGTACAGATGCAAAATTTTTTATGTTGAACTATGGTAAAAAAAAATATGCCTATGTTGTAGTCCATGAACAGTTTACTATGACTATGTAGTTTTTTTCCAAGAATTTTTTTGGTGAGAAAAATGTCTTTATCGTCCCACGTCCTTTGAAGCGCAGAGACTGACTAGTCGCCTCTCTTCTTATTCGTCCGTTGGACGGTCGCATCTTAATCATAGTAGATGTTGAACTTTATTGCTAGAAAATTTTTAAAGAAAAAGACTGTCCATCAAACGCTAAAAAGTTAATTTTTTCGAGATATCATTTGTTTTTATTACTCAGATGCGGTCATGCCAATGGTCGGGATGACTTTAGGCAGTGGCCGCCTCTTCATTTTCTAGGCGGCGCGATGCACATCTAGGAAGTAGTCCATATACTATAAGGAGACATTATTGATATACAATCTTTGATCGTATGTCAACAATGTCTATCATAATATGGCTGAAGGTTTACAATTTTCTACCCTATATGATTTCAGCACTCCCTCTAGATTGTGTAATAAACGATATGAACTCATGTGTTTGTAAATACTTACGTATTATGTGATGTAGCAATAAAATAATCAGTCAATGGTCGTGTCATATCATGATAAACTCGATGAGATTTATTTGGATTCATAATACAAAATTCATCATGAAGTAAAAGTAAACGAAGACCATCAACACCCATTTCTTCATATTGTTGTCCTTCGGAAGATGGTTCAAATCGAGCAATTAATTTTGAACAATCTTCAATTGATAATGTTTCCATATGTTGTTCTTTTTGTAAAAAATCTTTTAATTGTTCAATAGTTAAATAATTTTTTCTATTATGATTATTATCAGATGATGAAATCGAATGTTGTGATATAATTGATGCTGATCTGTTTCGTCGAAAACTAAATGAAGAATTTTTACTTTTCGATTTTCGAAAACTTAACGATGACGAATCACGAGGACGTTCAAGTGGATTTATATGAATTATTTCTCGAATAGTATTATAATCAGAAAGGATTTTTGTTG